CCCAGCTAGCCACTGCATGCAAACACCACCCTCCCCTGCCCCCCCCATGGCCAGCTGGCCACTACCACCAGAACAGGTACACTAGTTAAAAAAGTTTGAAAACCCCTGCCACAGACTTACCACCAGTATCCAGCTGCTGGAGCTGCTGCCACCACCCTGTCTGGCTGTACTGACAGTCATATGTGTATGCATGCATGTGGAACACTGTCAGCTTGCAAGGGGAAACCAACGGTTTCTCCCTTCAATGGGAAAAAAGTGTGTTTTTCTTCTTTAAAAGGGAACATCCACATTTTTCTGCATTTTTCTGTGGGAAATGGAAAACTTGGATCCCTGTTAATGAGAAACTACATGCAAATAAGCAGTAACATTCAGAGCCTTTTTACCTTCAAAAAATTTCCAGGCCTCATGGTTTTTCTTGAAAGTGGAATCATCTGATGCTTTTGATGAAACCACTGAAAAGAACAAGTAAAGAAAATATAATGAAAATCACAAATCGGTGTGGGGGAAAATTGACCCACTGAAGTCAATGGGAGTTTTGCTATTGACTTCAAAGGGGGCCAGAATTTCAGGTCATACTATCCAACAGAATGGTCAGTACTTAGGACTGGGACACATTAACAGTGGTGTAATTCGTGCCAGTTCTGAACACAGACTACCTCATCCTGGCTAGCTGCTGTAATAGGCAATCTCATAGGACCTTGCCACTAGATAGTGAGGGAGCTTTTGGTAGCCTATTGTATTAAGCCAACTGCTACTCTGGGATAAAAGCAGACACGAGTTGTACTACTGATCCCGACCCCTCCCGCAGGGTAACTGCGTTGGATTCTAGTAAATTGTACCAGTGTAGGGCTATATATTATGTATCTACTCTTCCTTTACACTAGCATAAAGGCAGATTAGAGGGGTGTAAATGAGTCACGCCCTGACTATCAGGGCTGAAATGTAACAAGCCTTTTACCAAAATTTGATCCAATTTGGAAACAACTAACTGCAGCTCCTGAAAGAGTGGTAGTTATCTCTCCAAACTAAGTCCTATATTACAGCACAGGAACATCCGATGATTAAACAGAGCAAGGTTGCAGTATGCAGCTATCCCATTCTGGTATATTAAATGAGATGAACAGACTTGATTCATTACTACCACCAGCAGTCCTGTACGTGCTCCCCACCATGCCTCTCACCCTCTGCACCCACCATGGAGTTCGAAGCAGCAGAGCACAGCAGCATCACCGGAATGGGAAGTTTGCAACTGTGTTTGGAGTGTGGCACCTCTTCTTAACACTTTAATATTTCAGAGGTAACCTTCCTATTTCTTATAATTGACATTGCCACTCCAGAAACGCAATGAATAGTGGAGGTGGGATAAAAGCAGACACGAGTTGTACTACTGATCCCGACCCCTCCCCCAGGGTAACTCTGCGTTGGATTCTAGTAAATTGTACCAGTGTAGGGCTATATATTATGTATCTACTCTTCCTTTACACTAGCATAAAGGCAGATTAGAGGGGTGTAAATGAGTCACGCCCTGAGCGTGTGATGCTCAAAGCTTGTGATGAGACACCTGCACATATAGGCGCCTTGCAAAAAAAGGGGGTACAGATATGCGGTGGAGTGGGATAACCGAGACGCATGTGAAGAAATAGAAGCTGACTGGCTCTGTGGATAAATCTCAGGAGCAGCAACTGGATGGTCTGGGCCCACGAGAGCAGCTCGAACTGGTGGGAGAGAATCGTGCTGATCACTTGGAATGATCAGCAGTGGCTGGAGATGTTCTGAATGACCAGGGAGACATTTTATCATATCATCTCAATGCTGGGGGCCACGAATTGCAAGGCATGTGTTGGGCCATCCTGCTGGACAAGAAGGTGGTCATGGCCATCATGAAACTGGGCATCCTGTCCAGCCTCTGCTACATCGTGAACCAGTTCACCGTGGCTCCCTGCATGGCTGGGCTGGCGACTCATGAGGTATGCCAGCTACTGCAGGATGTCACGGCAAACAAGTTTATTTGCCTCAGGAAGTCATAGATGGCTTCAATGTCATGGGGTTCCCTAACTGCGTAGGGGCTTTAGACAGCACTCACATCCCAGTGCAGTTCCCTTTGGGGAGGCGAAGGTCTTTCATAAAAGGAAAGGATTTGTCTCCATGTTGCACCACTGGGGTTGGTTCATGAACATTTTTACCGGGTGGGCCAACAGCGCACATGATGCGTGTGTGTTCAGAAACTCTCTGCTGCCTGGCCTCGTGGAGAAAGGACACTATGCACCTGGAGTCCCTGAGACAGTGATCTGTGGTGTTGCAATTCCCCTGCTTATAATAGTGGACACTGCTTACCCCCTAAAGCCCTGGCTCATGAAGCCTTATGAAGGGAATGTTATGGACCTGCAGGAGCTTGTTTTCAACTTCAATCTGAGCAGATGGAGGATGGCTGCCTTTGGCATTTCAGAATGTGCCTTTGGCCAACTGAAAGCATGATGGACGGTGCTTAACTGCCAGCTCGAGCTGGAGCCAGAAAATATCACGGCCTTCGTAGTGGCAGCTTGCGTGCTGCACAACATCTGTGAGACCTGCGGCAAGGTTTTCAGCAAGTCATGGGCTGACAAAGCATGATGGGCAGCAGCGCAGGGACCAAGGACATATCCACAAGGAAAAGCTGGTCGGGTGGCCCTTGTGCGGGATTGCCTGGCAGCACATATTATGGATATGGATGCTGACAACAACTAGCAGTGGTTGTTCTTGATTACAATAAATTCTTTTATTATTTACAACATAAACATCTGGGTCTGTCTGCAGGGGTGTGCAGGGGAAGGTAGTGAATGTGGGGTGGAGGATGAGCAAGGCGGGGGGGAGGTGGACTGGGGTAGGGGGGTTGTTGTTTGGAGGCTGGCATTGGTCTGGTGGGAGCTCATTACATACCACCCCCTAGCTAGCCTGAATCATGTCCTATGAAAGGGTTAATTACACCTCTCGTTGGCCGGATTGGGGTGGAGGGTGGATGGGGAGCGAGTGGTATGAGCAGCCTGCAGGAGTCCAGTTTATGAGAATGTGCAGACTGGGGGGGAGGGTCAATATGCCACCCCAGTATTCCACTCCGCCGACAACCCACCATTTCAACACTATTTCACAACACCCCTCCAAAAGCTGTATGCCATGCTAAACAAACAGACAAGGTGGCCGGTATTCACGGTGTCATGTGGGCAGGGAAGGGGAGTGGGGGAAGCACCCGCTTTGAGGCATCCCCATGGAAACTGTTCCAAGCCCAGGCAGCTTGGGAATGCAAGGAAATGTAGTCCTAAAAGCCAGAAAACTTACAGCTGTCGGATTTGGCACCACCAACCCCTCTGCCCCCCTCTCACCATACTATAAGTACACCCTTAATTTTTAATAAGAGTTCATAGTACACACCTGCTTTGGCAACACAATGTGAAACATGAAACACCCACACACCAGTCCATCTCGCCACCATCATCAGCCAAAATCACCAACCACCCAGGGAGGCATCCTCTACTCTCACCCCTGTATATTTCTGATATGATATATACAGTTTAGAAAAATGTCATATATACATTTTCATTACTTTGTAACATGGGGGGAAGGGAAAGGGAGGGGAGGGAATGATTCACATGGCTTGGTATTGGGATCACCACGGAGTCTCCTACTGGGAGACTGGACTGAGCCTAGGCAGGTGCAAGTGGCAGGATTTTGGGGTGACCACGGCCTGGCATGAAGGGTCGGGGCAGCTTAGCATGAGATTCCTGGCAAGGGATGGGAGGCAGGGACTGTGGAGGCAAGTTTACCAGCAAACATGCGCCTCCTGCTGTAATTCATTAGGAAACACATTACTGGGAGTAGATTGGTATTTGGCTCCCGCTGCTTGAATCTGAGAGGAATTATACACAGGGCTTACTTAATTCATTCGAAAAACTGTAGTGTGAAAACACAAACGCGATGCACCAAAATAACCCAGGTTAACATTTTTAAAGCTCATTAAATTAACAAGGATTAAACATTGTGTTATGTACAACTGCCCTAGGGTCGATGAATTGGGACCTACCTAATTTGCAGTGGCTGCCTCTGGATTTCACAGTCTGGGTGCATCGCCGGTTGCCATTTTCACAGCAGAGCTGTTACGTCTCAGCTGTGTGTTCTTGGGCAACCCTGGCACAGGATGCAGTCTGTCTGACTCACAAGGACTCACCCCCCCTCCCTCCCCTCCTCTACCTATACGAAACTGATTAAGATGCAGTGAGAGACACACCTAAGACCCTCCAGATAAGGGTGACAAGAGTGAAACAACTGCCCTAGGTCTCATTTGCATCCAAGATGGAACCAGATGACCATTCATTTACATGAGAGATGGAGAACAGAAAGCCTGAAGCAGAGACTGCAGTGAATTCTGGGACCAGAGAAGCAGGGGAGCACTGCATGATGGGGAATCTGTGCTCCAAATGTTAATCAACCCATGTTCACACACACCCAGCTCAGCATTTATCAGACCAGTTCTAATCTGGATTTACTAAGGACTTTCCCCCCCCAGACACACACACACACCTCTGAGTTTAATAGGCATCTCGGGCCGTACATTCCCCGGTCCCACTATGGGAGGCCTATTTAAACTTGATTGACTAAAACTCGGTTGCCGGGTTAGGGAATGCTGAGGCAAGAGACCGAGTCAGAGGGGGTATGGGCAACATTTGAACAATGGTTAAGGGTTCATCACAGCATCCAGCCTGCTGGAGCCCTAATCCCAGGTGTTGTCATATCTTTCCCGAGACGACTGGTGGGAGTCCTCTCCACAAAAGGTTATGAGCACCCCAATAATTGTTTTAAGTCTGTTAAAAGACTATAGTAAGATCTGGAAAAGTCATGCTAAGCTGAGGCTTGTGCACAACAAGTAAAAATCCAAAATCCTGATGCTGCAAGCTATCTATTGTTCCTGAAGAAACCATGAGATATCCCATCAGTATATCTGCCACCCATAGGAATTTCAAGCTGGCTCCCAAGTATTTGGGTTACTCCCTAATCTTAAGTGTTTCCTGATTATCAATCAGTTTCCTGAGATGGTCCAAACCAGATAACCCCTTGTCAATAGAAAAGACAATGATTTACACTACTGAGGGTGCTTCGAAGCAGCTGAACTGAGGGTATAAAAATCTGTAAGTGTGTGTGCTGCTGGTAGAGGAAAAGGAAGGAAAAGAAGTATAAGCAGGAGGAAAGAAGGAGAAGAAGAAAACCCCTGTGCTGACACCATCCCCTGTCGTTCTTGGGACGCTGGAAGAACAGATCATCTCTCCCTTCAAGGATTGTGCTATGGACTGTGCCTGTCAGCTTTGCAGCCTGAGTACCGTGGACTAGGTGAGATCCCAGCGTTCTCTGTCTTCTTTCTAGGCATAAACTTCTGAACCTGAACTGTATCAGTTAAGCTTGAGCTAAGTTTCCCCAAATACTTAGT